CCTCTCTCTCTCTCTCTCTCTCTCTCTCTCTCTCTCTCTCTCTCTCTCTCCTTTCACAGTTGTAGATACAGTATGGCCAGCTGCTTCATATTATTGTTGTCATACTTTCCCTGACATGATAAACTGTATCACTTCAAACTGTAAGTCAGAATAAACCTTAAGTTGCTTCTTATCTGATACAACAATGAGAAATGAAACTAATATAGTCCCCAACACAAAGACGTGGAAAATTGATTAGAGGTTTGCATCACTATCACCCAGAGGCAGGCAAATATCTGAATTCCAGGACAGCCAGGGCTACACAGAGAAACCCTGTCAATGGAAGAAAGCAAGCAAGCAAACTTGATAGGATTTTGACAGTGTCTGGCATAACAAAAGGTGAAAGGTGATCAAGTGTCCGTGTAAAAAGTAATGCTGTTCTGGTCTCAAGGGGTCTTTCAGGAGGGGATTAGTCCTTTAGGAGGGGGGCGTCAGGGAAGGAAGTGGGTCCCTGGGAGCAGGCCTCCTAGCTTTATACCCTGTTCACATTTGTACTGTGGATACGGTGTGATCAGCCATCCTCCTGCTTTTACCTCATTGCCTTCCCTGCCTGCTGCTGTGTCTTCTCCACTATGGCTGACTGTAGCCCTCTGGCTCTGTGAGTCAAAATAAACCTTTTCCCTTAAGTTGCAAGAAGGCAGTGCCTTACCAGATACCAAATCCTCCAGCATCTTAGACTTGGACTTCTGGGCCTCCAGAACTATAATTAGGAATTCCTTTTGTTTATAAACTACCCAGTCCCTAGTATTTTGTCATAGCGGTCTGAGGAGTCTGCCTGTTAGCAATGACCTTCAGGCATTCTTTGGAATAAATGTGAGCTGTAATTGCTGTCAGTGCTAAATAAAACTTGCATATACTGGGTACAGAGTACCCACCACTTAAGAGACACATGCTTGAGGTATGAGGTCTGAGGTGGAAAGGATTATGATGTGTATCACTAGCTCTCAAGTGGGCCAAAAACATGAGAGAGAGCGAGATCTGGGATAAACTGTCAATGGTGGAACCTAGATGAAAGATATGATGATGTCTACTTTATGATTTGTGCAACTTCTCTGTACATTTTCCAAGTTTTCACAGTTGAGAGTTAAACAAAGCAAATCATAATGACTCCTCATTAGAGTCAAATTAATGGTTTAGGACAGAGACAATGTCAAAAACAAAGAGTAGGAAAAACCCAGCAATGGCAGAGGCTGGCTGGAGGTCAGTCAGTGCATGCTTGGGGGTTCATTTCTGCTCAGGGATGTCTTGGAAGGATGAAAGCACCTGTGGATAGAGGTACAGCATTAAAGAGTGTGTTCCCATACAAATCAACAGCTCTCAACCAACACATGCTCCATGAATGCATGTGAGGACCTCTGCCAGAGGACCCTTGGAGCTGAAGACACACCCACTCCAGGAGAGGCTCTGCCATCTCTGAGCTCCATATGAAGCCCCCAAAAGACTGCTCTCCTGAACTCCAGATTTTATATTTTTTTGAGATTTCTTGAACCTACCAGAGAAGAAAACACTGTGTAGGAAGGGTGGCGGTGCCTTCCAGTTATCCAACTCCTGGACTTCTTTTATCTCATTCCTCAAGTTGTTAGCCTTCTCCTTCTCCCAGAAAGGCAAGCTGGAAGAAGAACACAATCCTGCTGAGTTTGAATGGATGCCGTGTTAACTTTACAAACACCACCAGTGGGTAAGACACTGCACACCACAAAATGAAAGAGTCCTCCACCTCGGGGCTGTGGAGATAGCTCAGTGAGTAAAGTGTAGTAGGACTTTCCTTTGGACCGTCAGCCCACAAATAATGACATGGAGACTTGCTGTTAATTATAAAAACTCAGTCTTAGCTTGGCCTTGTCCCATTTAGCTCTTATAACCTAACACTAACCTGCTTTTATTAGCCTATGTTTTACCATGTGGCTTTCTACCTTCTTTTCATTCTGTATGTCTGACTCCCTCCATGTCTCATTGGCATCTCCTCATGCCTTGATTATCTCCTCCTACTTTCTCTCTCTGCCCAGAAGTCCCACCTATACCTCCTCCCTAGCTACTGGCCATTCAGCTCTTTATTAAACCAGTCAACAGCAATATATCTTCACACAGTGCATAATTATCCCACAATATTTCCCCCTTTTGTCTAAATAAAAAGGAAAGGTTTTAACTCTAACCCAGTAAAACTGTATACAATAAGAACAATTATCAAGTAAGAATTATATTCACAATGTCTAGCTCATATATATGTGGCAAATTCAGAGAAAATACTCTATTATCTATCCTATCTTAGTGAGTCCAAAGTTTTATACCTAAACCATTTTCTATCATAACTTGTATTGCCATCCTAAAAATACCTTTTTAGACTTAAAAACATCTTCTTAGATAAATAGCTTAAGCTTTTATGTTGTTCAACCTTATAAACTTTATATCTCTTATGTAAGTTTTTTCTGAATTTGTCAACAAAGAAAACTGTATACCATCTAGTCTTCAATCCCCATCAGAGACCCAAGAAGGATATATTACCTGAGTAAATAGAAAGTGCAAAGTAAGCAATTTCTAAAACTATATAAATGACAGACATCTGGCTGCCTAGACTGTCACCCAAGGTTCCTCTGTAATGTTGGGGTATCCATATTGAGCCTACAGGCCTAGAATATCTGACAGACTTTCTTATGAGGCAGGAATTTTGAAGGACTGTCCTACTCTGTCTTGGAAAAGTTTGGCAGTTACCTTCTTTTGTGTCCTGCTCGTCCAATTTGGACAGCATATTGTCAGCAGTCAAGGAAAGGACAGTTTTTCACCAAAATGACTAGTTTTGCTACATTGAAGGCAAACTCCATATGGAGGTTCTTTGATGCCTGTCATCCTTTTTTGAAGTAAATTGGTGCTGCCCAGAGTATAGTGTCTCACTGTCATGAAAAACCTTATGCTATTAAAACATCTTTAATGTCATATTCTATAGGTCTCTTAAGTGTTTGAAACCCATCTTCATATCTAAAATATATCTGTTTGACTCTGAAAACATACCTAACGTGGCCACAAATTTGATTGTTAGATGACTAGCTACTAACCTGTATTTCTCTAATTATTCTAAATAGTTTGTAATAATAAATTTCAAGGACTAGAAATTTACTTTATATTTTTAAATGAGCTGCATAGGCACAATGTCTTAAACAAGAGTAGAAACATATATACAGCATAACAAAAAGCCTTAAATTTGTATTAATATACAAAAATCCATAATGCCGAGCAGTGGTAGCACATGCCTTTAATCCCAGCACTTGGGAGGCAGAGGCAGGTGGATCTCTGTGAGTTTGAGGCTAGCCTGGTCTACAGAGCAAGTTCCAGGACAGGCTCCAAAGCTACAGGGAAACCTGTCTTGAAAAACAAAAAAAATATCCACACCAATGTAATATATTTGAGATTAGTGGTTATTCAAAAGCAGACTCAACAATCCACCCTTTTATCCCATCATTTCTGTACTATATCTCCCTTTTTCCTTTCAGAAAGAGATCCCTAATCTAATCTCCTTTATTCAGCTTTTCATCTGACTATGACCAACAGCAACTTGTAACCAATCCCCCTAAACAATAAACATCCATAATCCATTGAACTACTAAAACTATCCACCCCACTTCTTGGGAATGTGGGTATTGTATCCTCTGTTCTGCTTCCTGTTATCTGGGGGCAACAGCATCTTTAGGGAACCCTAAAAAATGGGATAATGGTCAAGTCCTGGGAGAGCTAGCTTGTCTAGTCTTGCTGTAATGGAAAAGTGCAAGGTTTATCTGAAGTTCTGGCTGGATAGTCTGTGAGGCTGAACCATCTCAGCTAGCAGCTTTGAAGTTGTTCTGATGCAGAGAAGGCAGTTGTCCACACGTCTGGGCGCCATCTGTTGAAATAGGAGCGGCGGGGCTGCGTCCTCAACACCCCGGCCGCTTGGCTAGCTCATGCCCTAAATAACAACACACAAACTGTGTTCATTTAAGAACTGCTTGGCCCATGAACTCTAGCCCTTACAGGCTAATTCTCGCACCTGGACTAGCCCATTTCTAATGATGTGTGTAAGCACCCCAAGGTGCGCTTACCGGGAAGATTCTAGCCTACGTCCATCGTGGGTCTCAGCTTCATGCGTCTGCCTCAGAGCACAGAGCTATCACGTCTACCCTGGAGAGCTGAGCATGGCGTCTCTGCCCCAGAGCAGAGCAGAGTCTGACCTCACTTCCTCTTCCGCCCAGAATTCTATTCTGTTTTCTCCTCCCATCTATGTTCTAAGCTATGAGGCCAAGCAGTTGGTTTATTACTTAACCAATGAAATCAACAGATTGATATATGACACTCCCACATCATGTCTCCCAATGCAACATATTTTCTGACTTCCATTGTGAAGTTAAGATACTCTTAAAATATATAGGTTTAATTACAATTTCCATAATCCAGTGTCTCTCAGCAGCTATTTTTTTTTGTACATTAGCATTTAAAAATTCAAAGTCAACGAAGCACCATACAAGACCCAGACACCCTGTATATTTCCCAAATTTATGTGGCTTATTTCTTTTAATGCTTTACTCTCTCTTTAACGACTTTGTTATTTTTAACGACTTTGTGCATTTTTTCTATGACTGTCTGTACCCATTTTTTACTGTATCTGTTTAAAGGTTTTCTCATTCTGGGTTGCTTTAGTGCACACCTACAGTGTTCTCTGACCACAAGATGAATGTGACTCTGACAGCTGGCTCTGCCTGTCTCAGTTCCCTGAGAGCCCACCTCATGCTGGCATGTTTACCACCCCAGCTTTGGAAAGCTGATGTGTCTAAACCCTGTCTTAGAAAACCAAAAAAAAAAAAAAAAAAAAGTACTAGTGCCAGCTGGAGGTGTAGCTCAGTTGGAAGGGTGCTTTTAAGGCAAGCAGGAAGCTGTGCCTTAATTCCCAGCACCACATAAAACCAGGCATGATGATGCCTAGGTCTTCCTTGACTGTGTCGTGAGTTTGAGGTCAACCTGATCTACATGAGACCCTGTCAAAGAAGAAAAAAAAAAGTCTCTAGATAAGATTTTTCAACTACTGTGCTCTTAGGGAGTGGGAGCTGAATCTAAGAAACACTGAATAGTAGATCCAGCTCCTGAAACTGGAGCCCTTTGGCCTCCTGACACAATCAGTTGGGCAGATGACTTCCAGGTCAAATTGCCATGAAGAAAACCCAAGTCTCCTGATTCATAGATTGGCCCCAGTACAAAAGAGCGCCCTAGTCTGTAGTGCTTTTTCTTTGAATAATACAATCTCAGCACTTGGGAAGCAGAGGCAAGCAGATCTCTGTGGGTTCGAGGCCACCTTGGTCTACAGGGCAAGTTCTGGGACAGTCAGAGCTACGTAGGGAAACCTTGTCTTGAAAAACCAAAAAATTAATATAATATAATATGTTAGAAAAACTATCCTGCTTGGTATTTTATGATTCATACATACAAATATATTTACAAAAACTCAAACAGTTGGGTGAAATGCAAAGATTAGATGGTTGGTGGTATTTTAAGTATTCTAGAATAGTGTTTATAAAAAATAAAGTACAGACATGAGAAGCCTAATTATATGTTACAGGGAATAAGAAGTATAATGAAGGCATGAGAGGTGCCAAGTAAAATAAAAGGCTTTTATTCCCCTGAGCTCTGAGATTTGGTACTCCCACTGCATCCCGGTGTGTGAGACTCGGGAACACGCACCCACCTCACCGTACTTACAGGAGTACAAAATAGAGAGGAGAGGTAAATAAATGCATGCGCTTCAGACGGCCAGAGCAAAAGTGTGGAATCAGGGAGCTGGAGAGATGGCTCCGTAGCAGTTAAAAGCACTGGCTGCTCTTGCAAAAGACCCTGGTTTGACTCCCAGCATCCACATGGTGGCTTGAAGCCATTTGTAAATTCAGTTCGAGGGAATCCAAAACCCTCTTCTGGTGTCTCTGGGTATTGGTCATACACATGGTATACAGATATACATGCAGGCAAAGTACCCACATGCGTAATTTTTTTTATTTAAAACTATTTAATTCTATAAGCATGGAATTAGGAGCACTGAGATGGCTCAGTAACGACTCCTGCTGCCAAGTATGCAAACCTGAGCTTAGTCCTCGAGATGCCCAGAGTAGGGGAGAACCAACTCCTAACACACAGCATGTGCGCCTCCATGCACACATCTTTTTTTTTTTATTTTAGTATAAAAACAGGAATAGTCCTGCTCCAATACACGGTGTTCTGTTGGCTTTCTCTTTGGTTTTGAAGCTCCAACCAGTTCCCCAGCTGCAGGCATCAAACATGCGCTTGTCTTTTCCAGAACACTCTAATGTGATACGGCTCTTGAGAACACGGTGTTATTAGTCTTTTTGCTCCGTGTAAATGCCCCTCCTGTGCATACCCAAGCACACCTGGGCGTCTATCAGCTGGTGTCATATGTAGAATTTGTCCCCCTCCATTGCCAGAGGCCACAGACCCTTGACTGCTGTGTGTCTCTCCAACTGCACCCACCCTGCTGCTGGGACACTTAAACGGTCCCCATGGTTTGACAGCCTGCAGGCTCCTCCGTGGGGGAAAAGGGTGTCATTTTCTCAGAGATCGGACCATAGAGAACTTAGTGAGAAAACTCACTTGGGGATTTGAGGAAGAGGCTCCAGTGGAATAAATGTATCCAATTTTTTCTCATAAGGAACCCTGGGGGGGAACAGTAAAAACAACCATGAGATTGCAATGACCTCTTAAAGCATGGACAGCTACATATCATCCTTTCCAAAACCACCCCCACCTTGTGGTGTCAGCCCTCAAATGTGGGCTTCAGAACTGCACAGGGAATCGCGTTAAAGTTTTTGTTGTGTTTCATCAAGACCACTGACTCTCACGTGACTGGTTTTCTAACCATTTTCAATATAACACGACAGCTGTTTTCCTCCTAGTTGAATGACTCTCCTCTTGGATCATATTTTTCTAAGTTCGCCTCCACATTTAATATCAACCCGTATACTAGTCACTAGCAATCAGACTGGGTCTGGAAGCGCTGAAGCCTTCAAGTATGCGGTAATAGAAATCAGACCAACAAACAACCCCTTCTTTGTCTATCAGCTTTTAAAAGTACAATATAGTGGGATCCATGACTTCTCTACCTGTGTATCATTGGAGCTGGCTCATAGTCAACCCTCCATCGCCCTCTCATACACCCTCCCCACTGTTCCTCTTCCTTCCCCCAAATTGTTTCCTCCCAGTGATGCATTATATATAACATGTTTGTATATATGCATATGTGTATATATGCGTGTGTATAAGTATTTACATACAGCCGAAGAGACTCGATTCCCTTACAGTTAATGAAATTCCCCTGGAATGAGCATGTACTCACAGTGAAAAGTTGACTGGTGGCAGAGTTGCTCCTGCTTTGAAGAACTCCTTACTCTGCTCTGGGAACATGTATGGATTATCCCCTGGTGTTAACTTTGGGATTCCATTTCTGGGATCAATATCTGTGGGAAGCATTTGGAAACATGACACAGAAGGCTGAAACCAATGCCCCGCTCACTGTGAGCAGCAATGCAGTCACGTGACAGTGAAGATCAAGCCTCTTTGTGCTTAGTGTGGGGTGAAGTTCTGCTGCCCTGCCTCAAGTCCACGGTGACATTTTCCCTACACTGTGCTGTCAGATATGATTATTTTAAACCCTGGTGGGTTGAGGAAGAGAGAGTAGAGAGAAGGTAAGAGCCAGAGGGTAGGGGAGTGTTGTGAAATACCCTCCCCTGTATGTGGCAGGGCTGTTGCACACATGCGCACACAACATCTGTGCAAGATTTGCACAAGGTCAAGCCAATTAAATTTCACATAGATTGGAGGCAGCTTCTAAGGCCATAGAGCTGAGAATCTATTAGCAGTCTATAGCTGCACGGGGAGGGAGTGTCATCTTTATTGAAGAGTATGGACCCAGAAGATTCTCCACATCCGTGGATGACCTCACATAACCTTCAACTTCAGCCCCAGTTGAAGGTTAAAAAAAAAAAAAACTAGAAAAAAACTTTGTTGGCTTTCAAGACAGAGTTTCTCTGTGTAGTCCTGGCTGTCCTGAACTCACTCATAGATCAGGCTGGCCTCAAACTCACAGAGATCCACCTGCTTCTGCCTCCCAAGTGCTGGGATTAAGGGCATGTGCCACCATCATCCAACCTAAATTTTTAAAAAATAAATAAAAAATAAGGTTAGGAAGAAGATGTGATGGGGGGGCATCCAAGAGGATGGGAGGTGGGGAGTGAGGTGAGGGTATGATCAAGATACACTTTGTGCATGTGTGAAATTTTCATAATAAATAAAACTTTATAAACACAAACATGGAGGACTGGGAATATAGTTCACTTGGCTAACATATATAAGGCCCTAGGTTCAATTCCCAGCACACAAAAAAATGAAAAGAAATCTGGCACATGCCTTTAAGTCCAGCTCAGAGGCAGAGGAAGGCAAATCTCTGTGAGTTTAATGCCAGCCTGGTCTACAAAATGAGTTCTAGAACAGCCAGGGCTACACAGAGAAACCCTGTCTTAAAAAAAAAAAAGAAAAGAAAAGTGTTCTATAAGTTTTGAGTGAGAAAGAGAGTACTGTATCAACATTGGTTGTAGGAGGAAAACACATGAGAATGTATTATCCATCACCTCTCAACGTGACCATNAAAAAAAAAAAAAAAAAGAAAAGAAAAGTGTTCTATCATTATAGATTATAAAACACTATACACAAGCCAGGGACTGGTAGCACATGCCTTTAATCTGAGCACTCAAGAGGCAGAGGCAAGCTGATCTCTGAGTTCAAGGCCATCCTAGTCTACAGAGTGAGTTCTAGGACAGCCGGGACCACACAGAGAAATCCTATCCAAAAAAAAAAAAAAAAAACCTATACATATTTCCTTGGTGGGTTTTTTTGTTTGTTTGTTTGTTTGATTGGTCCATTGGTTGGACATGCAAGGTGTGTACCTTTTAATTTTTTATTATTTTATTCTTTTGTGTATATGAGTGTTTTGTCTACATGTCTGTCTGTGTACCATGTGTGTGCAATGTCTTCAGAGGCCATAAGAGAGTGTCAGATGCTCTGGGACTATGGTTACAGATGACTGTGATCCCAACTTCATGTACTAACTTTCTCTTTAAACACACACACACACACACAATGGGATCTAATTTATGCTTCCAACTCCTAAGCCTGGGGCTGGCCCTGGAGTGTGTTTGACATACCCGCTGTCACTCCATTGAAGAAAACTGATTTCCTCTCTCCCTGCAGCTTCTTGGCTAAGGGTAGGGCTTGTGCCCACTCCCCCATTTCTGTATTGTCTGGCCTGAGTCTATGTAGGCCACGGTGTGAGCTTAAGTTCTGGGCAGAACTCTGAACTCATTGGGACAGGGTTTCATGTAGTCCAGGCTGCCCTTGAGCTCACTATGTAGTTAAGGGTAGCCTCTAAGGCCTGATCCCCCTGAGGCCATCTCCCACCTGCTGGGATCACAGTTGTGCTCTGTCACATCTCATGTGTGCAGGGGATGGAGCCAGGCTGCGCCATGCTAGGCAAGCACGCTACCAACTGAGCACCATTTCACTCCATGATTTATATTTTTAAAACTGAAAACAGAAAAGTGGTTATTGGTAGGTATTGAACTTGCTAAGCTTGTTAACTTGGTTATGTTCTGTTCTTTTATTATGGTGGTCCTTGTGTGTAACACTCTCGCCTCCACGCTAGATAACAAAGAGAGTGAACTATTTGAGCGAGGAGAAGGAAATTGTGTACATTCTGTGTCTCGATTAAATGTCATGCACTTCCATTCCTGAATGTATTGGGGTATATAGTATATGTACATACATGTTTGTGTGTGTGCACATGTGCACATGGGTGTGCAATGTGCATGTGTGATCTTACATGTGGACACCAAAGGTCAATGCTAGATGCTTTCCTCAACTGCTCTCTACCTTACTTTTTGACTCAGTCTCTCACTGAACTCACTTGGCTACAGAGGCTGGCCAGTGAGCTCCACGAATCAGCCTGTTTCAGCGTCCCCAGTTCCGGGGTTATGGGGACAACCACTGCACCTGGCTCTTGTGTAGAGGATCTGAACTCAGGTCCTTATGCTTGGGCAGTAGCCCATCTCCCTAGCCTGCACTTCCTCCGAATGTTTTTTAATTTTCATTTGTGTGAATGTTTTGCCAGCAGGTATGTCTGTGTACTACATGTGTGTCTGGTGGCCACAGAGACCAGAGAGGGCATCGAATCCCCCTAGAACTGGAATTACAGGCAGCTGTGAGCCACCTTATGGTGCTGGAAATAGAACCAGGTCCTCTGCGAGAGCAGCCAGGGCTCTTAACCACTGAGCTGTCTCTGCAGCCCTTCATCTCCTCTTGATGAATAGGGAGTTTAGGATCTGGGCAAGGCATGGGACTCCTATAAGGATCCCACATCGGAGGCCATGCTTGCAGCTTCTCTGGGGTGGCTCTTTATCCAGATAAATCCAAGCCTCAATTTGAAAGTCCATTTATCCTTTATATGAGTTTTACAAGAGAAGTTACTAGTTACTTCTCTCTGCACAGCTTCTACAAAAACCTTCTTTATCAGTGAGGCATTGGCTGCCTCCTCCTCCATGGGTATTTCAATAAGAAAGTGCCATGAATGGCCCTCTGGTGCTCAGCAACCTCTTAGGATCTCTTGAGAAGTCTATTCTGAGTAAGTTGGGGCCGAGAACTCGCCAGGTTACAAACCAAGATGACACATGGATTTAGGTATGGTATGTGTGCACCATTTCACCTTAGTTGCCTTTAATTAAATCAAAAATAACACTGTATACTTCATGCCAAGGCTTACTTTAAATGTACATGACAGGTGGCATCTAACTGAAACGTCCCTGATTTTCTTCGGACTTCAATGAGGCTTCTACTCTAATGATGTGAAATGACTCACTTGGTGACTTAAATGTCACATTAACATTTTCTGAGAGCTGGAGAAAGACGTAAGTGTGGATCAGCGTTCATTCCAAGCCCTTCATCAAAAGTTGTTGCCTGTGCACTGGACTCCCTTGCCTTCCTGTCTTCCTGACTACTCTGTGGGCAACAGGGTGACCCTGCAGAGCTGTCCCCAGGCAGAGAAAGCAGAGCCCATGGAGCCACAACTAAGGGCTGCAGTTCATGTGTTTCATCTTTGATGGAACGAGACACATTACCATACTTCTTCTTCCCGAGGCTCTTGTCCAGGGTCCTCTCGGCCTCAGACTTCCTGTTGCCCCGGAAGACCCCACTGAAGAAGCACTGCTTTCCAATGTGGTAGGTGTGGAGATTGCTGCTAAACCTCGGATAAAATGTCCACTCAGGACGCTGCCCATCTTCTGCAAGACATCAGAAATGTTCCCGTTAGCCCTGCTCCCTGCCCACAAGACAATGAGATGACAAGATGTAAAAACTCCCGGGTTCTGTTTGTCCTACAGCCTTCTCACACATGCACTCTCAAAAACATGTGTAAGCGTGTTTGTATGCAAATATGTATGTTCGCCACAGGCATGCAGTGTGCACAGAGGCCAGAGGGCCTGGGATCTTCCTGGAACTGGTGTTACATGCAGTTGTCAGCCACCATGTGAGAGTCAGGAACCAAATCCAGGTCCTCTGAAGAGCAGCCAGTGCTGTTAACCACTGAGCCATCTCTCTGGTCCTCACACTCTTTTGGCTGTTAGAGACAATATCACTATGTAGTCCAGGCTGACTTGAACTCTTTTGTGGGGTCTGTATGTGTGTCTGTGTGTGCACATGTATGTTCATGTAGGTAGACATGTGTGGGTGTAGGTGTGTACAAGAGGTCATCCTCAATTGCTTTTTTTAAATCTTTTTTATATTTATTTTTGCTTTTATTTGTATGGGTGTTTTGCCTGTTTGTATGTCTGTGTACCACGTGCATGCCTGGTGCCCATGGAAGTCAGAGAAGGGCATTGATTCTCCTGGAACTGGAGTTAGAGATGTTGGCCACCATGTGGGTCCTGGGGATTGAACCTAGGTCCTCTGGAAGAGCAGGCAGCATTCTTAACAGCCAAGCCATCTCCGCAGCTTTTTCCATCTTATTTTTTGAAACAGGGTCTCTCTCTAGATGGAACTTACTACCCATTTGACTAACTGGAACCTTCTTACCCTGGCCTTCCTGCTGGGATTACAGGCACAGGCTCTCACGCTCAGCTTGTTTACATGGGTGCTGGGATCTAAACTCAGGGCCTCATGTTTGTGTGGCAAGTACTTTGCCATCTTCTCAGCACCCCCATCCCTCCAGCCCACCCCACCCCAATGAAGGAAGTGCATTACTGGGGGTTATGACTTTGTCCTGCTTCCTGTCTCCACCCCACTGCTTCCTATGTCTGGGTGAAATGTGGCCTCCCTGCCTCTGGCTCCTTGCCTCTCCCATCATGCTCTTTCCTCACCATTCTGGAGTCTGTCCCCCTGGAACTGTAAGCTAGGATAAATATTTCTCCATTAGTTGTTTTTGGTTATGGTATTTTATTATAGCAACGAAACATAACTAATCCTGGGACTGGAGAGATGGCTCAGTGGTTAATAGCACTAACTGCTCTTCCAGAGGACCCAGGTTCAGTTCTTGGCACCCACATGATGGCCTACAACCATCTGTAACCCCAGTTCCAGGGAATCTGATGCCCTCTTCTGGCTTCCATGGGTACCAGACAGAGACCAGGTGCGGTGCTCACACATCCATGCAAACAAACACTCACATACATAAAACAATAACTCTTTTAGGAAAAGAACTAAAACAGTCACATGACCTAAAGCATTGCTGCAGGAAGAGGTCTGTGATCTATGCAGCCATTGAGGGAAAATACATTGTGTACTACAACTCAGTTATTCTATGTCTGTCACCTGATGACTTTGTTCTTCTCTGAACACCACAGTGTGCTTGCACAGACCTACACAAAGAGGTCAGTGTCAGCTTGATGGAATCCGGAGTCACCTAGGAGACACATCTCTGAGCACGTCTGTGGGAGTTTCGGGATTGAGTTAGCTGAGGTAGGAAGGCTGGGGTGTGGACTGACTCCTGGGCTGAGTGAAAAGAGCAACAAGCTGAGCGCCAGCCATTGCCACCACCACCCTCTCCTTCCTGACTGGACACAGTGTGAGCAGCTGCCTCCCACTCCTGCCACGTGGACTGTTAAGTAAAAATGAACTCTTCTTTGTGAAGTTGCTTCTTCACATGTGTGAAAAGTAATTGGTGCAGCTGTTCACTCCATGTGGTTTCTTGACGCTATCAAGAGATGTCCTAAATACAATGTGTGAGGCCGCAGTATAGCCAAGCATGCTGTTGTATGGTTAACTGCGTATTTCGTGCGCACTTGCACGCATACACGTGGGTTGCATCACCGTGGCGCGGGCCCAGAGGACAAGCGACTTCATGGAGTCAGTTCTTTCCTTCCACCATGTGCATCCTGGGGGTCAAAACTCAGACTTAGGCACAAGGGCCTTTGCCTGCTAAACTGCCTTGCCCAGCCCCCTTCACTTCTTGTAATAAGTAGAGAGTACGCTTTGTAGTTATGGTATAGTGTAGTACACTAATATCTAGAGCAGTGGGATAGTGACTTATCATTATCAGATATGATGCGTGTGCTATGCTGGGCACCAGCGTCGCCACAGACACAGCCACGTGTGTGTTACGACATTAGCAAAGTTATGACATCACAGTCAGTGGGAGGCTTTCACCACGTAATGTTTCGGTTGAACCACTGTCATACATGCAGGCCACTGTTGGCCAAAGCTGCGTCATATAACATATGACTGCTTTTCTATGTATGTATGGACATACATATTCAGGTGTACATATTTCAAAATTCAGCTCTTCACAGCTGTGGGGAAGAATATTGTTGGAGAATATTGAGGAAGAGGGTTTATGTCTATACACTTCTATGTTGTTTGATATCTTTTATGGCACTTACACTGGGCCTTTCATTTATGAAAACCATATGGCCATACATATCTCCCACAAAGCCATCACATGAGGACCCAAGAGGAAGCGTGCCAAATGTCTGACACTGGGCAGGGGAGGTCTTCCGGGACTTGGCCCATAATAGGACAGATTTCTGAAAAGGCCCCAGGAGCAGAGGCCTCTGGAGGAAAACCCAGGGTCTACTCACTTGTCTGTGACTTAAGCAGGCTGAGTTCCTCAGGGTATTTTTCCTTCTGTAACCCAGGCAGTGAAACTTGAGAGGAGTGACTAGACTGTGCGGAGGAAGAGGAGGAGGAGGAAGAGGAAGACTTCTGACCCATCTCCACCGCTGTGCTGGAAGGCAAGTGGCAGGCTTAGATTCACCTCCGTGCTCAAACTGGCAATCACACTGATCGTGAACTAGCGGTCCACGCGTTCTCAGCAACAGAACTAGCCTCGCTTTCTATAAAGTCCCTATAAACTTTCTATAAAGGGTATAGTTTACTGACTCACAACTTGAAGGTACTAAAACTTACTCAAAAGACCCATGCTTTAAAACAATCAAGTTAGTTGGGAAGTAGTGGTGCATGCCTTCAATCCCAGAGGCAGGCGGATCTCTGTGAGTTCAAAGCCAACCTGGTCTACAGAGTGAGTTCCAGAACAGTCAAAGCTACACAAAGAGAAACCATGTTTTGAGAAAAAAAAAAAGGTTAGCCAGGCAGTGGTGGTGCACGCCTTTAATCCCCGCACCGGCGGCAGAAGCAGGTGGATCTCTGAGTTAAAGACCAGCCTGGTCTACAGAGTGAGCTCCAGAACAGCTAGGGATAAACAGAGAACCCCTGTCTTGAAAAAACAGATAGATGGTAGATAGATAGATAGATAGATAGATAGATAGATAGATAGATAGAGGTAGATAGATAATAGGTAGATAGATGATTGATAGATAGATAGATAATAGATAGACAGACAGATAGATAGATAGAGGTAGATAGATAATAGGTAGATGGATGATAGATAGATAGATAGATAGATAGATAGATAGATGATAGATAGAGGTAGATAGATAATAGGTAGATAGATGATAGATAGATAGATAGATAGATAGATAGATAGATAGATAGATAGATAGATAGATGCTGAGCCTGAGGAACTAAGCTTGACCCCTGGCAACCCATGAGGCAGAAGGAGAGATAGTTGGTTGTCCTCTAGCCTCCAGCCACACACTAAACTAATTAATTGTAGTTTTTATAAAACAGGCTGAAGAGATCACTATTTCGTTAGGAGCACTTGTTGTTTTTATAGAGAACCTGGATTTAATTCCTAGCACCCACATAGTAGCTCACAACCGCCTGTAACTCCAGTTCTAAGGAATGTGATGCCCTCTTCTGGCCTCCACAGGCACCAGGCATGCATATGGTGCATATACATGCATAGATATTTAAACCAATTTTAAGAAAAAACAGTCAAGGTACTAACTCCTCATACAGTACAACATGGAATTGCTACATGATCCAGCAGTTATACTCCTATGTGTATTCCCACAAGAACAGAAAACAGAAACTCAGGCAGACACGTTGTCTACGGGTGTGCACTGCAGAATATGATAGCTCTAGGCATCCGTCAATAGTTGGTGAACAAATGAAGTTCGGCTTACACAAAGGAATATGACTCAGCCTGCAAAAGAGTGGAGTTCTGCAGCATGCTACCACATGGTGAGCCTTGAAATAATTATTTGAAGGAAAAACTAGCCAGACAAAGGACAAATCAATATGAGTCCACTAATACAAGGGCAGAGAGTGGCTGAAAAGTTTCTAGGAGCTTAGCCTGGTGGTGGTTGCACGCCTTTAATCCCAGCACTCGGGAGACAGAGGCAGGTGGATCTCTGTGAGTTTGAGGCCAGCCTGGTCTACAAAGTGAGTTCCAGGACAGGTTAAAAGCAACATAGAGAAACCCTGTCTCAAAAAAGAAAAACAAAAACAAAACAAAGTTCCTAGGAGCTGAACAGGAAAGAATTCTGCTCAGTGGATACACAGTTGGTGTTTGATTGAAAACAGGAAGGGCTGGAGAGATGACTCAGCAGTTGAGAGCACTGGCAACTCTTCCAGAGGATCTGGGTTCAATTCCCAGCAACCAACAGGCAGCTCACAAGTGTTTGTACCCCCTGTTCCAGGAGATCTGACACCCTGACACAGACATGCAAACAGGCAAAAACACCAATGTATATAAAATAAAAATAAATTATTAATAAAACAGATAGTGGCGGTGGTTGTACGACACTGTGAATGTAATTAGTGCCGCTTCATGGTGCACTTAAAAAGGGACAGAATGCCTTTGCGTTAGATGTATTTTAAAAATTTATTTTTTTGTGTATGAGTGTTTTACTTGCAATGTAAGGGTACCATGTATCCACAGTGCCCATGGTGGCCAGAAAAAGGTGTCAGACTCCTTGGGACTAGAGTTCCTGGTGATAGTGAGTCACCTTATGGGTTCTGGGAACCAAAGCCAGGTGAGCCATCTCTCCAGCCCTCTGTGCTGGAACTCTTGGGTCTTAGCCAGTGAGAGACTTCTGGCTCCATTCTCTTCATGTCCACTTATGTCCTCTTACTTTTACCTGTCTTCCCATGTTACCTGAAGGAGGCACGGGAGGTGGACCCCTGGAGGTCTCTGGTCTCTATAAGAGGCACGCATGCTTCTTTGTCACTCTGATTTTTTTTTTTCTTTTATCATTTTTAAAATGAAGGACCCCGGTCGGACCCAGGGCCTTGGCAGTCTGACAAGTAAGTGTTCTATGCTGAGCTACATTCTCAGCCTTAATAAGTTTGTTGTCTTGTTTAAGATTTATTTATTTATTTTCTGTATATGAGTGCTCTATGTGCCTTTATGTCAGAAGAAACCATCAGATCCCAATAGAGATGGTTGTGAGCCACCATGTGGGTGCTGGGAATTGAACCCAGGTCCTCTGGAAGGGTAGTCAGTGCTTTTAACCACTGAACCCTCTCTCCAACCACATCATCGTCATCATCACCATCATCATTATTAGTGTGAGTAGGTGTGTTTGTGTGTGTGTGTGTGTGTGTGTGTGTGTGTAGTGTGTGAATAAGGGAGTGTGTGCCAAAGCACATGTATGGACATCAGAGGACAACTTTGGAAGAGCAGGCGGTGTTCCTAACCACTGAGCCATCTCTCCAGCCCAGGTAATCATATTCTTGACAGTATCTCTTAGGATGCTCGTTCTTTATTTTCTTTCATTCTTTTGATAGTGTGTGTCTGTGCGCGTGTGCGAGTGTATAACTCTCTCAAGTTATCTTTTGATCTCCACCTGTTCATAGTGGCATGCATCCACACACATGGGGGGTAAATAAATGTTAAAAACAAAAAAAATACAATTTGGTCGAACTCACACAGATCATCATTGGAGGAGTTGGAATTTGAACCTAGGTAGCCTAGCTCTAAAGTTGTTGTCTAGCAGGACACACACACACACACACACACACACACACACTTACTCAGAGTGAATCAACCCTCCAGGGGGTCCTGGAGGCTCAGTGACTCTCCAACCTACTTCATCAGAAGATGAAAGACTGGTCCTTCCATAAGAGGCTGTCCTGCTGGCCAAGGAACCCCTGGACTCTAGACCGTCACTGTGCTTGGCACCTGCAACACAGATGTCACCGTTTAAGTATATTGCTGAAATATCTGACAGCCTATTTTATTTCCTACATTATATTTTTAAAATTGGGGAAGGGGTCTGGTGAGATGGCTCGGTGGGGAAAGGGGCTTGCTGCCAAGCCTGCCAACCTGGGTTCAATCCCCAGATCTCACAGGTGGCAAGAGAGCCACCTCTCCAGCCCATGTAATCATACTCTTGACAGTATCTCTTAGCATGCTGGTTCTTTATTTCCTTTCATTCTGAGGGTTGTCCTCTAACCTCCACATGGGCACCATGACAAAGAATACCTGTACTCACACCCAATAAGTAGAATTTGAAAGCAGCTAGTATTTAGTATTTACTGTGTCCTGAGGGTCACTTTAACCCCCCCCCACATTATCCCATCTAGCTCTTGTAAGTGCTCTTAAGTGCATGCATGTGTGTGCTCACACACACACACTCATACGCACACATGCACGCACACATGCACGCACACATGCACACACAATGAGGAAACAGATTCAGAAGGCTATACCCTTGCCTACATTCAGGGAAAAACTAAGCATCCAGGCCCAAGTTTGTTGACAATATTGTGGTGCCAGAGTCTGAACCGCAGCCACTAATCTGGACTGCTTATGCCTCCCCAAGGCTCACCTGGTCCAGACTGCGTGGAGAGAGATCTGAAGCAGCTAGGTGTCGCTATTCACTGTACGGACACCATACAGTATGGCACAATTCTCCAGAGAATTCTCCATCTCGTGACAGGATGAATGAGCGCAGCTGGCCACCATGGCCTCAAGAAGCGCCTTCAGAAACTTCCATACCTCCCATTATTGAGCCACTCATTCACAAACACAACTTTGCCACCAATGGTATCTAAAATAGCATCTGGCATGACTCAGATCCCAAGCAGCACTTGAATAAATGAATGCAAAGAATTATATGTAGCTCATTTGGTAGCATGCTTGCGTGGTGTACAGGAAGCCCTGGGTTCCATTTCTAGCACTGAAGAAAGCAGGCATGGTGGCCCATGCCTGTGATACCAGCACTTGGGAGGTAGGGGCAGGAAAATCAGAAGTTCAAGGTTACCCTTAGCTTCATAAAGAATTCAAGAAGGAGAAAAGGGGAAAAGAAGAAAATGATTCTAACTCTCCCAGCCACTGGTAATAACAAAAGAGTCCTTTAAGTCTGTGGCTATCATATGAAGAGATGAATCATTCTTTTTAGTTTGCTGTTTGATTTATAGCTTATGAAAGTCAGTCTGTTCTTTATCATCTTACATTATCATGTGCCCTGTTAAATTATTTTCTTAAGATTTATTATTGTTGTTGTTAATTATGTCTAAGTGTGTATGGCTGCATGGCTACATGTCTGTGTGTACCACATGTGTGCATGTGCTCCTTGAGGCCAAAAGAGGGCGTCAGATCCCATGGAACTGGAGTTACAGATTGCTGTGAGCCATCTGATGTGGATGCTGGGAACTGAACTCTTCGGCAAGAGCAGCAAGTTCTCTTACTGGCTGAGCCTCCTCTCCTCTCCACTCCTCCAATTACTTATTTTAAAGGCCAGATGAATAGACACCGTATTTCTTTGTGCATAACTTCATAGAACACAGAAGCTCAATAAACACAATGAAATCATTTGTGATAAGAAATTTATACAGGCGTGGTGGTGCATGCCTTTAATCCCAGCACTCAGGAGTCAGAGGTGGGGTGATTTTGACACCAGAGTGAGTTCTGGGACAGCCAAGGCTACACAGAGAAATCCTGTCTCAAAAAATCAAGAAAAAAAGAAAAGGAAGGAAGGAAGGAAGGAGAGAAGGAAGGAGGGAAAAAAGAAAGAAAGAAAGAAAGAAAGAAAGAAAGAAAGAAAGAAAGAAAGAAAGAAAAGGAGGAGGAGAGAGAATTGAAGAGGAAGAGGAGGAGATGGGAAGGGAGGGGAAGGGAAGGGGGGAAAGGTGAAAGGAGTGGGCACACACAGCACAGCCTTCTCGGGATTATGTTTTTGATTCCAAACTTCGAAGGTTAGCCAAACTACTTCCTTTCTTCAGAATTCCCCACCCCATGTCCAGGTTTTCTGGAATGTGGCACAGGACTGAGGCCTGGGACAGCTGCAGACTCCCAGAACTCTGGGAGCCAGAGCCCAGGGTGACCTTAGGTACAGTGAGGCCAGTGGTTGCCAGAGGTAGGAGCAGCTGCGATAAAGCCAAGGCCAGGGAAATGGACAGAAAAGGGACAGAGCTGTGAGGAGGGCAGGGCAGTCCCCAGCAGTCAGAGAAGGAACCATCTTTATACCAGGCCACAAAAGAGCCAAATAATGGCATATAGACTCCACTTCCAATGCAACGTAATTAGAAATCAATAATAAAGACAGCCCCAAGCGAAAACCCCGCCGTAAGCTAGGGAGCTCAAACCACACTGCTGAATAATTCATCAAAAAAACATCATAATGGAAATCACATTGACGTTCAGCGAACTTAGGTGCTACACATTAAAGCCTGTGGGATCCAACTAAAACAGTAATTAGAAACTTGGATTCTTAAATGCAAATACTGCATTTCACCGAATATAGGGCCTCAAAATGCCTCCCCTTGGACTGATATTTCATTTGTATTTTAATAACTAAAGCTTGCCTGAAGGTCAGTGCAAAGCAGCCACACTAGTCAGGCACAGAGGCCAGGCGGTGGGGGTGCATGCCTTTAATCCCAGCACTAGAGAGGATATAAGGAAGAGATGGGACAGGACTTGCTTCAATTCAGTCTGAAGATGTCAAAAAGGTAAGAGCGCTCTAGTGGCTAGGCTGCTTTTGCTTTTCTGATCTTCATGTTGAACCCCAATATTTGTGTCTCTGAGTTTTTACTAATCACGTTATACTGCCCTGCCCAGGCACGGGAAGATTGCCTTCTGGACTAATGGCAGCGGTGCTCTGGGGAAGTCAATTACCCCACTCCCAGCTCCCGCCACGGGTTGCTGCCTAGCTCAAAGGCTGTGGTGAGGAGTAACAAGCTCAGGATACTTTCTCTGCTCTAGATGTTCACCGTTCATCAGGAAACCTGCTCTAATGAATGCCAGGTAAGCTATGCCTCTCTAAATCGCTGTAGGATGAGAAAGAATGACATCCTCTAAAAAAACCAAAGTGAGGATTGGAGAACTAGCCAGGGGTTAAAAGCCCTTGCTGCTCTTGCAGAGGACCTGAGTTCATTTTCACAACCACCTGTAACTCCAGCTCCCTCTTCTGGCCCCCATGGGTAACTACATTCATGTGTACATATCCACACACATAGATTTTTTTTGTTTTGTTTTGTTTTGCTTTTGTTTTTGTTTTTCGAGAAAGGGTTTCTCTGTGGTTTTGGAGCCTGTCCTGGAACTAGCTCTTGTAGATCAGGCTGGTCTCGAACTCACAGAGATCCGCCTGCCTCTGCCTCCCAAGTGCTGGGATTAAAGGCGTGCGCCACCACCACCTGGCTTTTTGTTTGGTTTGGTTTGGATTTTAAGACAGGCTTTTCTTTGTGTAGCCCTGGCTGTCCTGGAACTTGCTCTGTAGACCAGGCTGGCCTCGAATCAGAGATCTCCCTGCCTGTGCCTTCCAACTGCTGGGATTAAAGGTGTGAGCCACCACTGTCCAGCCAAGCCATATTAATTTTTAATGGACATTTTTTTAAGACCAAAGGAAGGTTCTGGAAACAAGAAAGGAATTCATGGAGAAAGAGAGTCTGGAAGAAAGTCTGTCTTTGGTGCAATCTGTAAAACTCAAGGAGATTTTCACATCTTTGGGCAGGAACAACATCTTCCATCAACGAAGTGTGTTCTCACACCTGTCGTCTTGGCTAATGCAAAACCCCTCTGTCTGGCAAGGGGAAGGATAATTCAGCAAAATATGTTGGCTTAATATGGAGTGTTTTTGATAAGAAAAAACCTCAGTTCCCTACTTTTTGCTTTTTCTGCTCAACAAGCAAGCTAAGGATCTAGGGTGGGTACCTACAGCAGTAAGGAGAGTAATGGGCCCTCCCTGCTGAAAAAAAGCACGTACCCACACATTGTACAAGGGGCTAGCTTGACCCTTTCATCCACAAGACCTGGACTCCCTGTTAAGATGAACCTTAGATATATCTCCTGAGAGGATGTGTTAAGAATAGACCGCCCAGTTAAACAGTATGGGTCCTCTCTGGCTCACCCCTGAAGTGGCTTCCTCCTTATTCCAAACCAAACTGGGAAAAAAAAAAGAAAGTTCTGGAAGCTTAAAGCTATACTCCCAGGGATTGGAAATGTAGCTCAGTAAAGCTCTGGGTTCAACCCCAGCACTGCGTAGGACCAGATATGGTGATGCATGCCTGTAATCCCAGACTCAGGAGGTAAGAGGGGCTGGAGTTCAAGGTCACCCTCTGCCACATAGTGAGTTTAGGTTAATATGAACTACATGGGACTGGGGATGAAGGAGGAAACGGGGTTGGGGGAGTAAAGGTGGGATCCCAGCACCCTTTCCTCCTTGCTATCCTAGCCATGTTGGGCAGTTGATGGTTCAAAGCCCTCCAGCTACTTAAGAACCAATTTACAGCTGAGGCCTCTGACCCCTCCCACCTCTCTCTAAGTTATGAAGGAGAATCAGATATGAAACATGGGACCTAAGAGACTGGGGACCAGGCTCAGCTGGGAAAAGACGAGACCTCTCCAGGTCCTTTTGCAGCACACTGGCTACTACTGAGCTACAATCATGATACTTGAGCCTGGATTCACCCTGAACAGGTTTTTGGGAAACTGTGGCTGTCCTCTGGACTCTGTGCCCTCAAGAGAATTGTGCTTCCGTCCTTCTTCCTCCACCTTAAGAGCCAGCTATGGAGTAAGAACACTGGCCATTATTTCATTTAAACCCGCCTTACAGTGCTCACAATTTCCACCTGAAGTGCCCCAGCCAAAAAGCAGTACCGTATATCACCTAATATCTGAGCAAGAAAAAAAATGGATGCAGACAGGCAAGCAGAATCAGACCAAAGACCAGCCTCAGTATTTATTAACCAAAGCTCAAACCTCCGGCCCCTTTACTCATTTGGAATATACTTCCCAACTGTCTGGAGTTCTGGTCAATAACATATTTAAATCTCTGCTTTGTCTTTTGTTGTTGAGACAGGGTCTCCTGCAGCGGAGACCTACCTCAAAGTTGCTGTACAACTAAGGATGACCTTGAATTGACCCTTCTGCCTCCGCCTCCTGTGTGGGCACTGCAGGTGTGTGCATGCCAGCTTTGGCTCCTCCTTTTGATGGTATTCTCTGCCAATCAGATCTTGAATATAGACATGACTTCATTGTGTATGTCCCCAACCAGCTCCTGTATAGCTCGGATCTGGAATGTTCTCCAAAAACCCATGTTTTGAAGACTTAGTTCCCAGTCAGTCACACTGTTGGGAGATGGTGGGAGAGGAGAGATGGCTCAGCAGTTAAACACTGGCTGCTCTTGCAGAGGACCGGACTTCTATTCCCAGTACCCACATTCTATTCCCAGTTCAACTTCAGTTCCAGGGGACCCTCTTCTGCTGGCACCAGGCATATGAACAGTACAAATGCATGCAAACATGTAGGCAAAACATACACATAAAGACAATCTTTAGACGGGAGGTGGTGGCACATGCCTTTAATCCCAGTACTCGAGAGGCAGAGACAGGTGAATTTGAGGCTAGCCTGGTCTACAGAGCAAGTTCCAAGAGAGGCTCCAGACTCAAAAAAAAAGAACCCACAAAATATAATCTTTAAAAAACAATCATCGTTTCTTGACCAAAGTGGAGATGCTTTGATCTGACATATGACGTCACTACGATATGTCACCAGAGGGCCAAAGCAACAGGACCATGGACAGAAACTAAAACCATGAGCCAAACCTGGAATGACAGAGGCTTGTGATGATCCAAGCATGTGGGAGCTTGAGTCAGGAGGATGGAGAATTTCAGGCTAGCTTGGGCTACATAAGGCAGTAGCAGTGGTGTTCAATCTTAAAAAAAAATACTATAAAGCCACGAGCCAAAAGGTTATAAGCCCACCCAGAACTCAACTGTATCGCCTGTCCACCTTGGTCATGCCCAAGTCACTGTTCTCTGGAACCTTCTCCAGCTCTCTAGTACAGGCCGCTCTTGGAATGGGAGGAAGTTGGCAGCCCGGTTTGCCGTTTCCAGTACTCATGGGCTCACCTGTGCACGCGGTGATTTTAAATGAAAGAAACCGGAGACAAACAAAGGGTCTTGTTAGAAAGGCTGTCTTTCAAAACTCAACATACCCCATAAGCCTTTGAAAGGTAAGAGGCAGAGCTGGGGTCTCTGTGGTGTTCCTGGGTTTGAATGGCAACTCCCCTCGCCCCACCCAAACCCAGCCGCCACCGCCTGCCCTCCCTCCCGACTCAGGGCTCCAGATACTCTCGTCCTACCCCACCCCAAAGTCTCCTGAAACCTCCGAGTCCTATACCCACTTCCCTAGGTTGCGGGGGGGGGGGGTGCCCTTGATCTACCCTTGGATGACTCCATGGAGTTTATGGCCCAGATGAACGCACCAACTGGCAACGGAACTGCCGAATGCCAAGGATGCAAAGGGAAAGCAAGGGCTCCTACCACCGCCTGCAAGGCTCGGTCCTGAGTTGCCAGGACAACCTGCCACTTCCTGCCGGCTGGCGCGCTAGTCCTGATGGGCCTCTCTCCCAGAACCTGGTGCTCTGGCCTGGGTTGAAGATGGGGTCTCAGGCGTGAAGAAGCTCAGGATTTTGTTTTAGCTTGTGGCTCTTTTCCAAGCAGCTGCCCACTGCCACTCCTGTAACCTCCAGTGGCCGTGAACGATGCCTCTCACAAAGCTTGCAGATGCAGGTTTAGAATTGGCCCTGATTAGGCAGAACTCACCCACCATTTAGGGAGCCTTTTTCTGGGCCAGGCTCCCTGTTGGATGCTTCAACAGCCAGCTGCGTTTTTCAAAATAGGAAACTGACTCTGAGCAAGGCTCATTCAAGGTCACCCAGAAAATGGATTCACTCCCAAGTTTCACCCTTACTAACTTATTACTCTTTCCATGGTATAGACTGAAATGTATCTTTCCAACCCTTTCCCTAGTAAATCTTGCATGGAAAATTGTTGGGTTTTGTATTTTTTTTTCTCCAACTCAAGCTTAGTCTCTAAATTTATATCGATACTTAGTTTCTCCTATGGTTAAGTGGGAAAAAATACAAATGTTTTAATTAATATAAATACTCATATTTGTGTGTGTTGTATTCATGTGCATGCACATACGCGTGTAAGGCACACTAGCCTAGGCACACGTGCATGCAGGGGCCAGAGGTCAATGTCATGTGTCATCCTCCATTGCTCTCCACCTTAGTTTTTCTCTTTTTTAATACTTATTTAAATATTATGCATACAATATTCTGTCTGTGTGCATGTCTGCAGGCCAGAAGAGGGCACCAGACCCCATTACAGATGGTTGTGAGCCACCATGTGGTTGCTGGGAATTGAACTCAGGACCTTTGGAAGAGAAAGCAATGCTCTTAACCTCTAAGTCATCTCTCCAGCCCCCTTTTTAAAAAAATTATTTATTATGTATAGTCTCTGCCTGTGTGTGTGCCTAGAGGTCAGAAGAGGGCACCACATCTTGTTATAGATGGTTGTGAGCCATCATGTGGTTGCTGGGAATTGAACTCAGGACCTCTGGAAGAGCAGCCAGTGCTCTTAACCTCTGAGCCATCTCTCCAGCCCTCCACCTTATTTTTTGAAACAGGGCTTTTCATTGAGCTGGAGCTCACTCACGGTTACAGCTGGGCTGGCCAGGAGTCCCAAGTCTCTACCTATTTTTGCTCCACCAACTTATAAACCCAGCATATGGCTCTTAGTGGTCACTGTGGATCTGAACTCAGGCCCTCACGCCTGAGCAGAGAGCACCTTACCCACTGAACCAACTCCACAGAGTGGTTTCATTTTTAATAATTGTAAATAATTATTGATTGTAAAAGAAACGAGACTGGAAATCTTGATGCTGAGCCAGCTGAAATTTGCTTAGATGGGAGAGGTGCTCTCCAGACCACGCCCCTAATCGAGGAGCTATCCAGTAGTTCATAGGGGCTGGGGTTATGAAAAAGACTGAAGGGCCACCTGTGGGGTCAATATGGTTGAGTAGAGTCAGTTTCACAGGAGTGGGTTTTAATAAATGTTAGCATTTAATAAAATGTTAGAACTCCTAGCAGGGTCCCCAACAAGGTCAAGGGCGTGAGACAGATTAGAAGATCTCCCTGGGGCCGCAGCAAAGCATGATTATAGTACAGTTAATCACAGCAGAAGGACTTTTCACGTTAATGGTAAGTCTCTATTGTAAGCATCCCTTTTGGGGGCCAGGGTAGCTTGATTCTTGTTTTTTTGTTGTTGTTGTTGTTTTTTTTTTCGAGACAGGATTTCTCCGTAGCTTTTTTTTTAATATTTATTTATTATGTATACAGCATTCCTTCCATGTATGTCTACAGGCCGGAAGAGGGCACCAGACCCCATTACAGATGGTTGTGAGCCACCATATGGTTGCTGGGAATTGAACTCAGGACCTTTGGAAGAACAGTCAGTGCTCTTAACCTCTGAGCCATCTCTCCAGCCCTCTCCATAGCTTTTTGGTTCCTGTCCTGGAACTAGCTCTTGTAGACCAGGTTGATTCTTGTTTTAATGTGACAGGGTCTCACTATGTAGCCCCAGTTAGCCTGGAACTTGCAATGTAGACCAGACTGGCCTCAAACTCAGGCTTGCCTGCCCCCGCCTCTGTGTCCCGAGTGCTGAGCTGAAATAGTTTGTCTCCCCACTGACAGGTGTTGGCTCTCTCCCAGGAGCCCAGACTGCTTAATAGGGCTGCTATCCATCCACAGTCAGGCGGGCTGCCCTTCTGCTGGCAGCAGCCACTGACACGCCAAGGTCTTAAGGAAGCTACACAGCTACCCAGCAGCTACCGCAGTTGCTGCTGAAGCTCTCTGGCTCTTGGAGGTGCAGCCCCACCCATGACAGCTTCAAACAGCTTGCATGGAACTCATTGTCAGCAAAAGCTCTGGGAAAAGCTAAATGATCCTGCCTCTCCCACCCAGACCAGAAGATAAACACTTCACCAGCAGCCCAGCAGAACACTTGTAGCCAATGAGAGCATAGCCCTTGATGTGCCTGAGAGTTGGCTGTGATTGGTGCAAACATCCTGTTTCTGGCTGTGTAAGCTCAGTGAACAGCTCCCTTTGGGAACAGATAGGTAGGAGACACTCTTCTGCTCTGCCTCTTGGGGCTGCAATGGTAAACCCAATACAAAGGCTTCTCTCAGGTGATCTTTTCTTATGTGTGTACATGTGTGTGTGTGCATTTGTGTGTGTGTGTAGGCACATGCATATGCTCATACATGTATACATGTGTTGATTTCATTGGTTAATAAAGAAACTGCCTTGGCCCTTTAATAGGACAGAAAATTAGGTAGGCGGAGTAGACAGAACAGAATCCTGGGAGAAAGAAGCCAAGTCAGGCAGATGCCATAGCTCTCCTCTCGAAGATGGACGCAGGTTAAGATCCTTCCTGGTAAGACACCACCTCATGGTGCTACACAGATTATTAGAAATGGGTTAATCAAGATGTGAAAATTAGCTAGTAAGAGGCTAGAGTTTATGGGCCAAGCAGTGTTTAAAAGAAAACAGTTTGTGTGTTGTTATTTCCGGGGCTAAGCTAGCTGTGTGGGATCCAGGCGGGAACATAGCCTTCTGCTCCGTACAACACATGTGGAGACGGTGGTCAATCACAAGTGCTTTCTTCAGTCACTCTCAACCTTATTTTCTCTTGTTTTTGCTTTTTCCAGACAGGATTTCTCTGTAGCTTTGGAGCCTGTCCTAGAACTCACTCTGTAGACCAGGCTGGCCTTGAACTCATGAGATTCGCCTGCCTCTGCCTCCTGAGTGTGTGCCACCACTGCCCATCTTTCCACTTTATTTTTTTGATAGAGGGTCTCCCACTGAATAGTTTACCTATTCAGCTAGATTATCTGGCCAGCAAAACCCAAGGATCCATTCATCTCTGCCTCCCTAGTGCTGGGATTACAGGCACATTTCTCCAAGCTTTTTGAGGTGGGTTCTGAGGATCAGCCTCAGGCTTGTGAGCTCCTCGCACACGGAGCCATCTCTCTAGGCCTTCTCGCCTCCTGCCTTAGCAGAGTGAACTCATCCAGTGACTGAGAGAAGATAGACTAGGATGGCTACGCAGGCAGCAGTGGAGACAGCAGCAATAAATCAAGAAGAAAGGCTGGAGAGTTCCAGAGAGCTTCCAAGCCTTAAGAGTCACGTTTCCAGAGAGCTGGGGAGAGCTAAGATTCCAGCTTCCTAACACAACGCGCATGGCACGGGTTGCTGCGTGAGTAAGGGCCCCAGAACCTGAGACCTGTAAAAGGACGGTAACCCTAGGAGGTGCCATCCGCCGCTGCTCCTGCCATTTGCTACCCTCCTACCAGAAGCGGAGGGTTCCGAAAACTGCTGAGTTCTGACCCACCGATGCTAAACTTAAGCCTCCAGCCTGAGAGCTGGGAGTCTCTAGCTTCTAAAGGACTTAGAACTCTAAACCTCTGGGGCTTGGGCACTCCGCTCCGTCTGCCACTCCTAGAAGATACTGTCCCCAACATTCTGTGATTCCTACAGGGCTCCTGCCATCTGATAAGGGACAGAGAGGAACTGACTTAAGCCTGCGTCCTTGCCCTTCACTCTTTGGGGCCTAGTTTCCTCAGTCCAGTGACCTGAAGTTTGGCTCCAGGCAGGAAAGCATGAGCTGCGGACCACGTGTACAGCTGCAGACCCTGGACGGGGACAGCCGCTGCTGATCTTTTGTTTCCGCACACCTCCTGCAAGCCCGCAGATGAGAGAAGCCGGGGCAGCAGTAAGAATTAGGTGTCTGGGGATAAGAGAAAGCCGGCAGCCTAGCCGGGGAGAAAGGTATCAGATAAACCCTTTCTCTTCTCTTGCAGGTCTTGGCAAACAGGAAGTGATGCTGTGAAAAGAAGCCTGAGTCGGGCGTCATCTGACTGCTGAGGAGTCGCATGCATTGGTAAGAAGCCCCTGTGTTTGTTCCGGCCCAAGAGCTGCAAGCTAAATCGGGGGTTGGAGGCACAGCTGCACTCCCAAAACCCCTACACTGAGGAAGCCTTTCTTCCTCAATGTCAGAAAAAGGTCACCCACTGCAAATCATCACTGTGCCCGTTTGTACCACCAGTGTCCATCAGAGGGCAGTATAAACCCAGGCATGGAGAAGAAGCGGCCAGCTCCGCTACCACAGCCGGAAGGCTGAGCCGTCGCGGAGGGGGGAGGAGGCACGGGCTGGGAGGGGTATCTCAGTAGACTGGAGCTGAGAAATCAGAGATGAACGACCACTGACACAGTCTGCTGAACCTTCAGAGGCACGCTGTTACAGAAAGGGGGTGAGAGAGTATGGCTGCCCCCAGATCCAGCCTCCAGACATTATCTCCAGATTTACTGCCAACTCAGGTCAGGACACATAAT